CTAACGAAATTTGTTGAGCAGCTACTATACTCTGCACTCTGCTTAAGGTACTAGATATGCAATAAAGAAATGGGAAGATGAGACTGACCCCTTCCCAGAACCCCCAAAGCTCACTGAAATATGGAAGATCTCCTCAAGCTGGAGAATCTTAACCAACGCTGGCTTTCAGGTAGCTCAAGTGCTGGCTCCTAGCACACAACCCAGCCATTCATTCCCTTTTCCCCCATCCATGGGAAGCCATGCTACCACTGCAGGACAGTCTAAGGGAGCTGGACAGGAAATTCCTTTTCTCCCACTGTCTCTCTGTGTGGGTATTTCTTTGTGTGTCTGTCTCTTTTTACCAAGGATTAGCCACTCAGAAGCCCAGACTTTCAGAAAACAAAAGCCAGGAACTTCAGGTAACACAGAACTCTGCTGAAACAAAGGAGTTCAGGGCACTTAGCTACCACCTTGGGATGGGAAACAATGGGTTAGAAGAGAGTGAGGGAAAAATTACATCTAGGAAAACACACATGCACACACCCTTACATTATACTGTCATATAAGAATGTTTTCCTCCTAGAAAACAATCAAGTTGCTTTCATTTTGAACAATAAAACAAATGTGATCTCTGTTTTAATTTCTTTTGAACTGAACTGTGCACAAAAATTTTCACCATTGCTTTAAGATACTATGCATAACACAGTGCCCTGCTACATGACAGGTCAGGTGGAGAGATGGGTGAATGGTTGAAATAACTTTTCTTCTTTAGAAGATGTATATCTGTTATGGGGAAATTTGAGAAACAACTTGTAGGTGGCTAGCCACTCTAAGATATCTTTTGAACAGGAGAAGCCATTGTTAGGGCTTAAGCACTATAGGAAAAAAAAATGTAAATGTATTTTACTATGTAGAAGCATGGGGAAGAATTCTTGCAACAAGACATAACAAAATAAGAATAATTTTATTAAAAATACTGAGTAGCTCACTTTTCCTAATCATGTTTATTTAATCTTTTATTTATCAGAACAAGGGCCAGCATAAGACTAAATACTGACTGTCAAATATTAACCTATAGCCTTGGGGAAGTATACTCAGTCTTTTCATCTTTAAAATGGAGAAAACACATCTACTATTTCTTATAGGGTTGTTTTAAGAAAAGAGATAGTAAGGGAAGAGCACTTATTACAATGGCTGGCTTACCTTAGAAACTCAAAAAATGTTTCAAATTCTCTCTCTCTCCTAGCTTGATCTTAAAGGTTTTATATATATCTATATCTATATATATCTCCACAAAATTCCAAGAAAATAATAAAATTTTCCATCATCTCAACAAAAATGTCTGTAGGAGAGAGGAATTTTTCTGATGTCCAAATCCTATGTATTTTTGCATTTTTGTAAGTTGGTCTCTCAAAGCTTCCTATAAATAATAGTCTAAGGTACAGTCCCTTTAAGAACCAAACTATGTGTATTTATACTTAGAACTTTCAACTAATTTGTTAAATATCTGAATCACATTTGGAATCTAGGGTGAAGCTGAAGGTAGATAAATGGCCCAAATCTTTTCTACCAGAAATGACCAAAGCCATGTAGGCAGTTTCCTAAAACTACTTAAAAAATATATTTTTTTAACAAGAAAACAGATTGGTTCCAAAGTATTAGACAATTCTTAAACCTAAAAAGAGTTGATTTGCATTTGAAGGTGAAATAATATATTTCGCTTTTATTATGTTAGTCACCATACAGTATTTCACTAGTTTTTGATATAGTGATCCATGATTCATTGTATGCATATAACACCCAGTGTTTTATAGGATCTATACTCTAGGATCTACAAAACACTTATGAAAGAAATTGAAGAAGACACAAAAAGATGGAAAAACATTCCATGCTCATGGGTCGGAAGAATAAACATTGTTAAAGTGTCTATGCTGCCCAGAAGAATCTATACTTTCAAAGCCATCCTGATCAAAATACCAATGGCATTTTTCAAAGTGCTGGAACAAATAATCATAAAATTTGTATGGAAGCAGAAAAGACCCTGAATCACAAAGAAAATGTTGAAAAAGAAAAATAAAACTGGGGGCATCATGTTGCCTGATTTCAAGCTATAATTCAAAGCTGTGATCACCAAGACAGCATGGTACAAAGGCAGACACATAGATCAATGGAACAGAATAGAGAACCCAGAAATGGAACTTCAACTCTGTGGTCAACTAATCTTTGACAAAGCAGGAAAGAATATCCAATGGAGAAAAGACAGTATCTTCAACAAGTGATGTTAGGAAAATTGGACAGCCACATGCAGAAGAATAAAACTGGACCATTTCCTTACACCATACACAAAAATAGACTCTGAATGGACGAAAGACCTAAATGTATGATCGGGATCCATCAAAATCCTAGAGGAGAAAAGAGGCAGCAACATCGCTGACCTCGGCCACAACAACTTTCTGCTAGACACGTCTTCAAAGGCAAGGGAAACAAAGGCAAAAAAGAACTTTTGGGATTTCATCAAGATCAAAACCTTCTACACAGCAAAAGAAACATTCAATAAAACAAAGAGGCCACCCACAGAATGGGAGAAGATATTTGCAAATGAGACTATAGACAAAGGGCTGATATCCAAGACCTATAAAGAACTTCTCAAACTCAACACCCAAAAAAAATGGGCAGAACACATGAACAGACACTTCTCTAAAGAAGACATACAAATGACTAACAGACACACGAAAAAATTTTCATCATCATTAGCCATCAGGGAAATTCAAATCAAAACCACATTGTGATACCACCTTATACCAGTTAATGGCAAATATTGACAAGGCAAGAAACAACAAGTGTTGGAGAGGATGTGGAGAAAGGGGAATGCTCTTACACTGTTGGTGGGAATGCAAGTTGGTGAAGTCACTTTGGAAACCATGTGGAGGTTCCTCAAGAAATCAAAAATAGAACTACCCTATGACCCAGCAATTGTACTACTGGGTATTTACCCCAAAGATACAGATGTAGTGAAAAGGGCCATATGCACCCCAATGTTCATAGCAGTAATGGCTACAATTGCCAAGCTGTGGAAAGAGCCAAGATGCCCTTCAACAGATGAATGGATAAAGAATATGTGGTCCATATACACAAAGGAATATTACTTAGGCATCGGAAAGGATGAATACCAAACTTTTGCATCAACATGGATGGGACTGGAGGAGATTATGCTGAGTGAAATAAGTCAAGCAGAGAAAGTCAATTATCGTATGGTTTCACTGACTTGTGGAACATAAGGTATATCATGGAGGACATTAGGAGAAGGAAGAGAAAAATGAATGTGGGGATATCGGAGTGGGAGACAAACCATGAGAGAATATTTCTCTTTTCTTATTTTTAAACTTAAATATTAACTACTCAAACTTATATGCTTCTATTAGTTCACAAAGAGCTCACTGTTCTAAACAATAAAAGTCATCATATACAACTCTGCCTTTAGTAAGATATGCTAATAAAAATTACCTTAAAAATAGTCTCATAATGTGCTGTGAAGTGTGTAAACCTGGCGATTCACAGACCTGTAACCCCTGTGGCTAATAACACATTATATGTTAATAAAAAAATAAAAAATTATTAAAAAATAGTCTCATAACCATTTAAGTCATTTTGATATAAGTTCATGCAGCCCTAAAAAAATTTAAGGTTCATCTGCACTTGTATAAAAACTAACTTTATCACTTTTTAAAATTTTTTTAAAAAATCCTTTCACTCTATAATCTATCATCTTTCAAATCAGATGAAGTAATTACAGAATTTTATAACTTTCCATGAAAAAATTATTTTCTCCCCCATTTCTATTAATTGGATTTTTAGTCTCCTGGGGACATTTTTTTCTCTTTTATTCATTAACCTTATATGAAGGGATTGCCCAAGCAGAACAAATAGCTGGTCCTTTTGTCTTTTTCCTTAAAAATATTTCTATTAGAACCAGCCTCATCTTTAGGATCCTTCCCCTTGATGTGTTTCAACCCCATACTGAGCACATTCAGAAAGGAATTAGATGAAGGGTAGGAGACCCTCCATTCCAGCTGGTCTCCATTCTTGATCATACTAGCCTGGCACATAACTTCTCCCACCCTCAATTCTACCTATAGAGTGGAAGTATTAATTATCTCAGAAGGTTGAGAGGGTAGTATGATGACAAAAGGGGTAACTGCTATGAAAATACTTAAAATTTCTCATTAAAAATTTAGTATAGAAATGCAGTGTCACAAAAAAGTAGCAAAAAATTACAGTGGTTCTTCCTGGAGTGCTCTTCAGATCTAATCCCTTCAAGCACAACACTGTAGAATACTATTTGATCTTAAAAGAGTATCATTATCTAGTATTAGGGCCCTGATAATGAAACACAAACTTTAATGACTTAGCCTATGATACCACATCATCCATCCTCAATGCTAAATCTACAACTTGAGGAAATGTATTAAGATCAAATTCTTAGTAAAAACTATAATACAAAGTAATGTAAGAAGAGTTAACATTAATCAAAATGCTTAGAAGAGAGAAGTCACTTCTCAAGTTATAGCCTATCATCAGTGACTTGAAATACACACTTTTGGAGAATAAATTCATGATATCAGGTTACTACATCAACATTTACTTCTTACTACTCATACATCTGAGCAAAGGAATAGTATTCTCATAATAGTATTCTTGAAAATTTATTTGATTATGATTAATCAATGAATCTAAATATTATAGTACCTAGTGATTCACGATATATTATAGTATACTAAATATGGAACTCCAGTTCTACCATCAGGTCTCTTCAAAGGCCCCATTACTGTGTGGCTTAGTTTCACAAACTAAACCTGCATTTCACTAACCATCTCTTCTGGACTCAAAATTATTTTACACAGTATCTCCTTTACAACATTTTCTTTAAACTTGGCATCCAAGGTTTCTAGTTTTATCATCCCTCTCAAGTATTAGAATAGTTTCTCCTTTCATGGTCAAATTAAAATTTGAGGGAAACTTACTTTCTTGTATTGCATTAAGAATCTCTGAAAAGTCCACATCACTCTTTGAGCCGTCAGGTAGTATTTGCATATCCAGCTGGTAGCCTTGCAAATCCACACCTCCTTCTAGAGAAATGAAAGATATTCATGGAGTTTGCACTGGTTATCAGAGAGCCCAGCATTAGGGTCCCAAGGAGAAGCAATGTCAAAATCTAAAACAAATAGCCAACTGATTCACCAATGATCCTCCCTCTTGGAAAAAGGACTTAAACAAAAAAAAAGAGAGAAACATTACCAGCCATTTGCTCCTTATGGGACCAAAAAGGTTTAATTGAATTTCCAATGTAAAAAATAAGGCAATTACTCTACTAAAATATCATACACTTCACAGTATTTACTGATCTAGGTGAAGATATAGGTTAACCTCCACCCAAGGACGTTTAAAATTATTTTCATCTTCATATGGCTAAAAAGTGACATTCAACACAAATACTTCATATCATCTTCTCTAAAATTATGATTCATTCACAGAAAAGGATTTAATGTTCTTGATAACACAGGAAAATCGACATCACTTTTCCCCTCACACTTGGACTTTCCTGCTACATCATTTATTTTTCAATTCTATCAGAATACTTTTGTTTTTTTCTATGATGTAATTAAACCTGTTGTACTACATTTGTCTCATTTATTTTTGGTGTACTCTAAAGATGACTTTTTGTGTGTGTGTGCTGTTCCACACGTCTATAGAACATTAAAGATGTCAAAGAAACCAAGACCTCAAAAAGTAGTTTTATCACTAATAATAATAAACCTTTAAATGTTTCTTAAAATAATCACTAAGAACATCTTTAACTCTGAGGAGTCTCAAAGAGCTAAAAAGTCAGTGCTAAAATAAAAAGATAGCCTGATGAATAGAGTGGGGCATGCCCTAGCTTCTAATATTTTTGTAGAAATAATTATTTCATAAGCCCAGGAATTATTCTTAGCCTTGAATAAATTTCAGTTACATCCCTAAAACTCAAAAGAATATGGCACAGTTACTATCGTATAAGGACACTCATTCTAGGAGGGACATGGACGGAAGTAAGTTAATATAATAGAAGGTACACTTTAGAATAGCTATCACAGGACCTAGAACGGTGCCTAGCAGGCCCTCAACAAATGAAGGCTGAACAAATGACTAAGCCTACGTGATAATTTTGAAACAAAGGCCATACAGCTCTAAAGAAATCTATAAACTTAGATTCTAGAGTCCTGCAAACCAGCATTCAAATTCTTATTAGGAAACAGAGTCTCTCTCAATCTTGGTTTTCTCATCTATAAAATTTTATCTCTGGTATGAGGAATTTGAGAGGCAGGGCAGGAGGCCGTGGGGGGAAAGGAGGGAAAAATGAAACAAGATGGGACTGGGGAGGGAGAAAAACCATATGAGATTCTTAATCTCAGGAAACAAACTGAGGGTTGTTTGGGGTGGGGAGGAATTGGGTGTGGCTGGGTTATGGACACTGGGGAGGGTATGTGCTATGGTGAGTGTTGTGAATTGTGTAAGACTGATAAATCACAGACCTGTACCCCTGAAACAACTAATACATTATAGGTTAATAAAAAAAATAGGGGTGATAATAACAGTCTCACAAAACAACCATGAAGACTAAATGACATAATGCATGAACAGCTCTTAGCTGTCAAATAGTCAGCACTCAGTAAATGGAAGCTACTACTATTATCATCCATAATAATGTATTAAAGGAACATTGACATTTATACAGAAACTAGCTACTGAATAATGAGAAGGAAGCCACAGCCTGTTCTTTGGGATACCAGCATGCATTTCAGTGACTATCAAGCATTATCAAGCACTGCAGACATAGTGAACTTCTTAAATGCATGCATGCAGTTGCCTCACTGAAGTTAACAGCTGAGACTAAGCTTCTCAACAGGAATTAAAATGGGTTATTTGGTTTCTCCCCCAATGGCCAGCTAATGTGCATAAGTATGACGTTCTACTGCTTTTCAACTTCTGCTAAGGCTAACTGCCTTTGTTCTGCTCAATAACCAAAGGCCTTATAATAACAATGACAAAAAATAAATAAGAATATTCAATACTGCCTATAGGCTGGCTCTAGGCTATGTACTTTATCATCTCATTTAGTCTTTACCTTTGAAAAGAAGGTGCACTGGGAAGGAATAATTTGCCCAAAGTTACACATCTACTAAGTTGTCAAGATGCAACTTCAACACATGCTCCTACCAGTCTTGAATACCCCTCATATCAAAGCAGTCACAAATATAGGCTATTGGAAATAAGGGAAATGGATTTACCAATAGTCTCATGTTCTAGTGCTTCAGATCATGACAAATACCATTATATAAACTAAAAAACAAATGACTTGCTAAAGAGGCTAATAAACAGAAGCCCAACTTGTTTATCTTGTTTGTCTTAGGAGATCATAAATTCATGTAGAAGTGTTTTGACTAATAAATAACTATAATTTCTAATAACCAAAATTCTACAATTTTTTAGTAATTATTTTGTTTTGAGAACAGTATAGAAGTATAAAATTCACCAAAAAAAAAAAAAAAACCAACATAAAGGAGGCATTCAGGCCATTAAAGTCTGTTTTTAAAGAATATTTAATGCTTAAGGTATCAAGAAAATGTTAAGGAAAATGGATACAGGGATAGAGATAAATGGATTTGTTTCAAGTATATTAAAAAAAAAATTATCCTTATATACTAGAAAAAAAGGCAGTAAGAAATAGTCCAAATGGGTATAGAAGTTATCTCTCACCTGTAGAATATTCATATATTTTGTTTAATTCTTTATCTTCTTTATGTTTTTTTTTAACAATAAACAAAATATTTTTGTAATTTTGAAGTCATTAAATTCAGACTGTGGCACTGGAGAACATTAAATATTGAGAGTTCAGGATTCAAGACTTAAAGACTGCAGTTGCTAATAAGGGATCAATCTAACATAAAATCTAACATATAATTTTCTAAATTCTTAAATGTAAATTAATGAATAAATTAATTCTTAAAATATATAATTTAAATAGCTCCAAATTGCAGGATGCAACATTCTCTTCATGGTAAATTGTAAGATCACATTTAGAGTCCCTAAAATACAAGGTATTTTTCTTCCTCTGCTCTCGAAGAAATATAAAATACACTTTAAATTGTAATATAAGGGTCTGGAACTTCTGGCAGGAAGTCATTCATTAAAGTCCAACATGACAAAGTAGGGGATGTTATAAAACAATGACTTTTGTAAACTTTCCTAAATAGAAAGTGATCACTTGTTCAAGGACATTTTCAAATGAATTCTTCAAGGTGAAAATCTTTACCATTAGCACATACTGCCCAGTGAACAAGACAAAATACTTCAATACAGAAAGTTCTATGTCTATTTTGAACTTCTGATATTTGTTTATTGTTAGTCCTACATTTTTGATGTGATCTCTAAAAAGTGAAGAATCAAAGCTCTTTCTACAGTCAGAGATGCCTCTGACTTTGAGTCAAAACACAAAGCTTTTTCAGAGGCAAGATGGTGAAAATGTCATGGTTTCAAAATGATGAAGTTTTAAAATAAAATGTAACACCACTGGGCCTCAGTCGTTGGCATGCAACCAAATGTAATCCCAAGGAAACTAAACCAATAAGTTACATTAAAGAGGAGAAACTTTAAAGAGATTCCTGACGATGTGGAGAACATAATGAAAAATTTTAAAAATCAAAAATAGCCACAAAATTCATATGATCCAAATCCGCCTTGAGCTTTTCTCACACTTGATTGAATGATTATATTCAAATCTTAATTGTGATTCTGTTGTGTGAGTCAAGTTGAAAGTAGTTCTAATAAAAAGGAACCATGATAACAGTGCTTACATTTAATAAAAGATCTTCAGCTGAGCAAACAAAATGTTAAAAATTCATTTTAGATTTATAACTAATTTACATGGATTTAGCTAAATGCTTTTATACAAAAGGAATCAAAAAAAGAAAAAAAGTTCTAAATAGGAGTCTCAATTAACACATATGTCAATGCCTCTCCCATTCCATCTCTGCCCGTAGAAATCCCTTTCTACTTTTAAGGCCCTTCCTAAATGCTCTGCTTTAGGAAGCATTTCTTGACCCTAACAAGCAAATACCATTTTCTACATTTCTATTTTGAACTTCTGTAGCGACTTATATTTTATCTTTTCTATAGTACATGTTTTCCATCAAAAATCAGGTAGGTAAAGTATCTGGCACAGTATGGAGTAGACACAGACAACATGTGAGCTCTTATCTCTCCCCATCTAGATTTTCTTCTAAATCTCTAGCACCCTCAACTAAACTATAACATGATGGAGGCCTGGGACCAAACTGCATCTACCTTTTTATCTCCTACAGAATCTAGATCAATGCCTTGAACATATTAATTTCTCAATTAAAGTTCTTACACTGCAATTTTATATTACTAGTTACAGTGGAAACAGACTGAGAAAACATCCCAGTTTTCTTTCATTTTACATAATTTTAAGACTTCTTGATAGGTTATCTAAAGACAACTGTGAAAGACACTTACTTTTTTGTGAACTCTTCTCAAATCCTGTCAAGTAATAAAGAAAATGCTAAGGTACCAACATCTTAAATCTTATAATGAAAGTCAACAGTTGTCAACCTTACCCCTTTCTCAACCGCAAACCCGTTCCTTTAGCACCAACACTCTCAAGAGTTTGTTTTTACTTATTTTGGCTATTTCCATGTGGGTATGCCATTGTATCTTGATCAATTTTATTTATTACTTATTATTTCCTGCTATGATACAAGACAATATAAGTTATATGATGGACTGCCACTCTCTCTCACCCATCCATCCAATCATTATTCTTAGTTATTCTGTTATATTGTCTTAGTTCAAAAACTTTAAATGACTTTAAATTCAATATTTTGTTCAAATATAAATAGATCCTATATTTGCAAATTAACACATAGTGGTATAGAAAAGCAGATTTTGATACTATATTGACCTGGATTTGAATTCCCTTTTTTATGTAACCCTGAGCCATTAAATAATAAGCCTTATTTTTCTCATTTATAAAATGTAAAGGAGGAAATTTTTGAGAAACTCTATTAAA